TGCTCAACAGTCCTCTGCGCTGGGGGCCTGATTCCCGAGGGACTGGATGCCCTTGGCTTTGGGGCCGGTTGTACGGTCGCTTTTCTTGGCAGATGAATACTTCCTAATGAGGCCTGGCTCAGTGATACCTGCAGAGGGTTGCTTTCCCCAGGCCTGTGCTGTGGGGTGGCAGGGGGGCATGGTGGATGGCGGGCAGGCGGGCAGGGCGGTGAGGGAGGCCCTCCTGGCTCATCTCTGCTGTGCTGGGGAGCTGTCACCTCTCTCTGGCCTTGGCACACATGGGGGGCGTGGGTTAAGTCCACCCCCAAGTCACAATGCATACTGGGGGAGGGTGTCCTGTCTGTTGAAATATGACAACCTCTGCCTGCACCTTCAGGGCGCGGGGCTGTTGGCCACCCGTGTCAGTTTGTCTGTCATCAGCTCCTGGCTCCCCGAGGCAGAGAAAACAGGCCCTAAGGTTTCTCCCCAGGATGTCCTGGTGAGCTCCTGCTGTCCTTTCTGCCAAGGAGATAGAAGCCCTTCGAGGCCAGGTGGGTGGACCCGTCTGGCGTCTGGGTCTGGCGTCTGGTGTGGACCTGAGCCACGCATCCTGAGTGAGATGTGTTTCCAGCATGAGAAGATGGCGGAGAAGACTGCAAGGAAGCCACAGCCTGGGTCTTCAGCAAGGTGAATGGCCGCGTGTGAGCAGGCGTGCACCTGCGAAGGCACATGTACTGTGTACTGGTGCGGCCTGACACATGGGCACATCCACAGGCCATCCCAGCTGGAAGGACCTTTGGAAACCAGCAGGACCAGCCCCTTGTGCTCCAGATGTCACATGTGAGCCTTGGAGAGGACGGGCTCACATAGCCCTCTGTCGGGCCTGGGGACAGAGACCAGTCCCCTTGGGTCCACGGCTTCCACCATAGGGGTTTGTAGGGCATGTGTCTCAGAATACCCTTGGCAAGCAGATACTGAGCATCTGCGGTGTTCTAGAGAGAGTGACAGGCACAAAGAATAAAGCCCAGGGCCCATCTTAGAGGGACTTAGTAAGACTAACGAGTGCAGAGCAGGGTGTTCCAAATTCCAGGTTGGAGGGGGAGTCTCTGTGTGCAGGTGTCTTGGGGTCCCTACAGAGGCCAGGAAGAGGCTGGGGAGTAATTCTGGGAGGTGAGGGACTAGGGTCAGCAGTTGTACTCTGCCCACCTCTGACAACCTCCTTAAGTCCCCGTGGACCACGCTACCTTCCCAAGTAACTGAACATGGGGGCCACCAACACTGAGGCCTGCAAGGCAGCAAGACAGAGACCATGGAGTTCCTGCCCCATGCAGAGCCTAGAGATGGAGCCGTAGTCCTGGCTCAGCATGGCAGGGCCTCTGTCTGTCCCCTCCTTGTCCCGTCCCTGCCCTGCATGTGTCACCCCAGAGTGGGCCAAGCCTCGTAGGCCCCACTGGAGACCCAGAGACTCCCAGCCCAGCCTGTCCTTTCACATTCAGTGACCGGAGCCCTGTCTACTCCCCAGTTACCACCCTACTGTGCTGGCAGCACCCACCGCCCCCCAAGGAGGGGTCTCTCTCCAATGCTCTGCCTTGGGGAAGGGCCCAGCTTCATCTCACTGCGCCACCTCTCCCTTGGCCTGCAGAAAGTGCCACGGGAGGACTGCCCGGCGGAGGCAGAGGCCCACGACGGGGTTGCCCACAGGGGCTCATCTGCGGCATTGAACAGCAGCTGTGCGAGCCTCGCTGTGATGGGGGTGCCAGAATTGCTAGCACCGAGTGCTGCTGGACATGAAGACAGGGCTGGAGCTGGAGATCGCCACCTTCCGCTGCCTGAGGATGGTGAGGATTCCCATGAGGGGCACCCGGGTGCTTGCTGGGGTGGGCTGGACCCCCTCACCCAGGAAGTGGCATTTGAGCACCGGGATAGGCCTGGAGCTGTGGAGGTGGGAATCTGCGAAGATGCAGGGGTGAAACTGGGAACACAGGCTGAGATATGGCTGTGAGTGGCCTTGAATACTGAACTAAAGCCCCTGGAATAGGTCACATAGGCCACGGGGAGCCACGGAGGGATGTGGAGCACAGCAGGGGGGCATCATAGAGATGTTTGAATAAGTCACTCCTGCTGCAGAGGAGGAAGTGGATCAGAGGATCAGAGGGGCCAGAGTGAGACCAAGAGAACTGTCAGGAGGCTGGAGCAGGGAGTCGGGTCAAAGAGGTCCTCCCGCACAGCAAGGAAAGGAAGGCCGTGCATGTGGACAGGAGAGTATAGGCCAGACAGGGCGGCAGATGCCGGTAGTCTCAGCTATTTGGGAGGCCAAGGTGGGAGGATTGCTTGAGCCCAGAAGTTCGAGGCTGCAGTGAGCTATGATTGCGCCACTGCACTTCAGCCTGGGCAACACGGTGAGAGCTTGTCTCTGAAAAAAAGAAAAGAAAAAAGGAACCTTCAAAACAGCAGCAGGCCGGGATGCCTGAATATGGGGGTGAGCATGGTCACAGTCAGGATTTCATAAATGTCAGGTGAACATGTGGAGGAGTGGTTACAATGACCCTGGGTCTGTGGTTCCCATGACTGTGTGCCAGGTGATGCTGTCAGCCAGGACGAGCCAAGGGGCGAGGTGGGTGGCCGTCGAGTTTGGAGAGGAAAGGTGGGTTGGGCCCCTGGCTGAGAGTTTCCATGCTTAGTCACACATTCCAGTTTTTTGCTCCTTAACAGTGGTGAAGTCCGTCTAGAGTCTAACCACAGCCTCTCTTGCTTTAATGGAATCTGTTCCTTGCGCAGCTTCATGTAAATCCCTGGCTAGTGGCCACACAGTGCCACTGGGTCTTCCATTGTGCCGTCCCCTTTTCTTCTGCCACCCTGAGCCTGTGCCCTCTGGTCCTTGGGCCTGTGCTGTTTTCTGTGCACAGCTGTGATTTCCTGCCCATTTTCCGGAACCTCTCCCCTCCACCTGGGCCTCCTTGAACACTACTCCTTCCCAGCAGTGCCCCACGGGGCTGGGAGGTCCAGTGCCCGTGGGCTGGTGAGCCTCCTCTCCTTGCAGCCTGGCCACTCAGTACTCCTTGTGCCTACGTCACAGCCCAGCTGGGAAGGAGAGTTGTCCCTGTCCTGTCCAAGGTGGGGGGTCCTATGCGGACCCTGAGGGAAGGGAGAGGTTGAGGACCCTTTGTGTGGGATGGCAGTGGTGTAGGGGTTCCTGTTTGAGGTCCCCTGTGCCCCTCCTCCAATGCCTGCAGTCAGGAGATCTGCCACCAGGTGTGCGCCATGGTGGAGGAGGCAGGGGACAGAAGGTGGTCTCTAACACTAGCAGGTCCACCGCTCCAGCCACTGAGGCCCCTTGCTGTGTGCCACAGCCCAGCCTCGTCGCCCAAAGAGCAGCCATCACCTCCAGCTCCCAGCACGCCACTGCCGCACCCCGAGTGCCTGTCTGAGCCCCTGTCCATGCTTTTCTGTATCTGCTTCCTGCCGCCCCTCACCGGGGAGGCCTCCTGGGTTTGCCCCAGTGACTTTGCCTGAAGCTAGATGCTTCATGTAATCAGGTCTGGTCATTGGTTTGAAGCAGTGTGGGCTGAGGGATTAAAGGAGGAGGAGAGTTTGCTGAGTGTTTGGGTATCGGTTTGTCTGTCACCTGCCAACCCGCTCTGCCCACTCCATTCAGGCCGGGGATCCTGGGAAGGCGAGAGGGAGGTGGGGTGGAAGGATTGAGGCTGGAGGGCCGGGGTGGTCCCCCATGCTAGGAAAGCTTCTGAGAATCAGCTCCTGGGTTCCTGTCACCTGCGGCTAGTCCCTGGGAGGGCCCCACAGGCTTTCCAGAGGCCACACCTGCTGTGGGATGCTCCCAGCCTCAGCCTAGGGTGGATGTGAGGGTGGAGGGAGAGGGGCCGGGGGCTTTCCGAAGGAGTGGTCCAGGGCATGGGTGGGTGAGAGGGGAAACCAGACCGGTTGGGCCTGGCCGGGGTGTGTGTGGGGCGTGGTGGCCGCCATGTGTGTGTGCGCGTGGGGGGCGTCCTGTTTGCTTTGGTGGCTTGGCAGCTGCCCGGCTATTGAAGAATCTCCCTCGGCTGCTGGCGGGCTGTCTGGGCCTGTCTGGAAGGTGGAAGCCATTGGCAGTCTAAAATAGGACCACATTCCGCCCAGCGGGACCCAGGGCTGGGCTTGGGATGGGGGGCACATGGCCAGCTCTGAGGCACAGCATCTGGGGAGCCTGCGGGTGGGGGGCTGGCTGGGGTCTCAGTAAGAGCCTCTCATTGGACAATATCCTTTGCATTTCCGGTGGGCTGGGAGCTGAGATATGTGCCCCTCACCTTGCCCTAAGGACTCTTGGGACACAGAAGGGCCAGAGGGTGGAAGGGGCTTGCCCCTCACAGTTCGTTTTGATCCCCTCCTGGCATGACACTCCCCCACAATCTGCCACTTTCCCATCCTCCAGCCAAGCTCCTCTTTGACCACCTGAGTCTGGTACTCCCACCTGAAAAGGGAGGTGGAGAAGGTTTACAGGGGGAGATGGGGGGCCACGAGCCCCTCGGGATGGGGCAAGGTCAGGAGCTGACTGGATGCAGTCGCAGCCCCTGGAGTGCGCCCCTGAGTGTCAGGCTTCGCAGGGGCCACTGTGGCCAGGGCTCTTGGAAGATGCGACACGGTGAGAGGACTATGCCTGCCAGCCCATCTCTGGTGTCAGGCGGGCCGTGTGGGCACTGCATCCCTCTCGAGCCTCAGTTTCCTTGTTTGTGACATGGGCTGGTCACCTGAGGCTCCTGTGGTGTGAGGGGGCCCGATGGGTTTAGATCCAGTTTCCAAGGTAGGAGGGGCTCTCAGTCCCCTCTGTCCTCTGGGCACGCAGCCCCGTGCCAGTGCCAAGTGTAGGGCAGCGTGGGCGAGGGGCAGCAAACTTGGGGAGAGGCTGCCTGACTCCCCACCTTATGTTCCCACCAGACATGGGTCCAGGCGGGCAGGGCTGGGCTGGTGGCTGCCAGGGAGGGCCTGGTGACAGTGACGTCCCGCCTTTTCCTCTTTTCCGTATTAGGTCATGGGAAAGCGTAGCTGGAGGGCCCGCCTGAATCACAGGTGACGGGCCCGAGACCAGAGACACGCACACGCACACGCAGACGCCCAGCATGGGGGTTCGGAGAAATGAGGCAAAGCCCCGGTGATGGGACGGGAGGGGGCCCCAGCCACCTGGGAGCTGGCAGGCAGCCATGGGTGATGAAAGCCCAGGGGAATGGAAACAGGGGAGCGGGCCTGTTGTAATCGCTACGCCCACTTGCCGGCTATAAAGGAGGCGGGCGAGCCCCAGCAGCCGCACGCACTCAGGCTCTCTCCTCCTTTACAGCTCTCTTCTTTCACTCTGCACCCGCAGCCACTATGACCACCACCATCCGCCAGTTCACCTCCTCCAGCTCCATCAAGGGCTCCTCTGGCCTGGGGGGCGGCTCGTCCCGCGCTTCCTGCCGGCTGTCCAGTAGCCTGGGTGGCGGTTCCTGCAGGCTGGGATCGGTCGGCGGCCTGGGCAGTGCCCTCGGGGGCAGTAGCTACTCCAGCTGCCACAGCTTTGGCTCTGGTGGGAGCTATGGCGGCAGCTTCGGGGGCGTTGATGGGCTGCTGGGTGGAGGCGAGAAGGCCACCATGCAGAACCTCAACGACCGCCTGGCCTCCTACCTGGACAAGGTGCGTGCCCTGGAGGAGGCCAACACTGAGCTGGAAGTGAAGATCAGAGACTGGTACCAGAAGCAAGCCCCGGGGCCCGCTCGCGACTACAGCCACTACTACCACACCATCGAGGACCTGAAGAGCAAGGTGGGGTCTGCTGGTGGGAGGGGCCGGGGGCCATGACTTCTCTTCCCCCAGCTCCTGCCCTGGTCGGAGACCTGGGGTGCAACCTGGGGGCTGCCACAGGCTTCAGGGAGTCTCCCGGGGGCCCCATGTGGCCCACACTCCCTTTGCTGGGGGCAACAGGCTAGGCCAGGAACAAACAGGCCTATGGAGGCTCTTGGAGCCTCAGTTTCTCCATTGTGAAGCTTGACATCCTAGGATAAGACAGAGGATGCATATGGTGGGCTGGGCCCACGGGGAACTGGATGTGTGATGTCCCGCTCCTTTGGAGCAGGGGTCAGCAAGAGGGGGTTTGGGCAATGTGGGTGAGGGGGTCTGAGTGAGTTCCTGATAGCGCCTGCAGGGCAGAGGAGGCAGAAGGAAGGGATCAGGACTTCAGGGTGGGGAAGTCCTCTTGTGTGCCTCAGCTGGGACTTTTCTGGCTTCCCTTTGCCTCTTGCTGTCCCTCAAGAGTGGGCTCAGCACACCCGAGGGCGGAGCTGCGGGTGGGAGCCTGAGTTAGGGCTCTGGAGGGGTGATGACTTCCGGTTGGGGACTGCTATCTGGTGAGCGATCCATTAGCCTCCTTTTGGGGAACCCTCTCAACGACTGTGAAACGAGGGGGTTGCCCACGTCCCCTCCCACCTTCCTGGAATTCCCGGACGGCTTCTGCCCTGGGGGCATCTTCCCATTGACTGGGCTCTCCCACACTCCCAGCCACTGCCTCCTCTTCTCCAGGCTGAGCCTGGCATGCACTTCTGCGTTGGGGAAGGCAGGTCCTGGGGGGGAGGGGAGGCAAGTTTCAGTCTCTCCTGATGTCTGCTTGTCCACCTCTGCTATCAATACAGCACAGTGCAGGGGAGGGCCTGGGTGGGAAGACGGGTCCCCAGGGCAGGAAGAGCCTTGTGTGGGTGAGCCAACCCCACCCGATGACCCGGCCATTGTCCCGCCTCCCCAGATCCTCACAGCCACCGTGGACAATGCCAACATTCTGCTGCAGATTGACAATGCCCGTCTGGCCGCGGATGACTTCCGTACCAAGTAAGTTCTAGCCCGGGGCTTGGGCAACCTGGATGGGCTGTGGGGGGAACTTGGGTCCCTCATCCCCACCCCGCGACTCCTCAGTTGCTTGTGGCAAGGTTTAGGAGCTGGGCGTGGGGCAGTCCTAGGAGGATGGTGAGCCCACCCTTCAATGCAGGATGGTTGGAGGGCAGAAGGCAGAGAGAAGTCAGTGAACTGAGGGGTATAAGGTCTGCCCTGTGATGGTCTCAGGGCCCCGGGGCTGGAGTTTCTCTCTTCTTCACCCTCTCATCATCCTGCAAGCCCTTAGAGACTGGCAAAATGAAGGCAGGCCCCGCAAGTCCAGGTCGCTGGACTGGGTTCTCTGGTTCTCCTGGCAGGTTTGAAACGGAGCAGGCCCTGCGTGTGAGTGTGGAGGCCGACATCAACGGCCTGCGCCGGGTGCTGGATGAGCTGACCCTGGCCAGAGCCGACCTGGAGATGCAGATTGAGAACCTCAAAGAGGAGCTGGCCTACCTCCGGAAAAACCACGAGGAGGTGAGGTGGCAGGGGCAGCAGGTCAAAGAGGCTGGGAGTGGGTGGCAGAGCCGTGGGAGACAGCAGAGGGGGCATATTGGGCTTAGTCACCTTACAGGCCCTCTCTGAGGAGCCCTGATCCCTGGGATTCTGAGCCAGCGCTCGGGGCAGCTCCTCCTTTCCCACACTGCCTCCTGCACCCTAGGAAGCTTCCGGGCCCCACAGAGGTTTCACCTGCCTGTCCTGGCCTTCCTCATGAGGTCAGGGGACGAATGAGGAAGTCTCCTTGTTGTTCCAGTTCAAATTCTCAAATCTGGACTCCCACATAGAAGTTTGGAAAGGAGAGAGAACATTCTGGGGATATGGGCCTAAGAACTAGATTTTATCTTTGGAGAGTCCTCCATCTAATGGGGAAACACAGTCTGACAGTGGAGGCAGGGCCTACACACAGAGCCAATGGACAAAATCATTTGGAGGATCAGAGGGTCCAGGACAGGCTGAGGGGTCCTTGGGAACAGTGGAGGTGCTCTTGTCGGGAAAGGCTTGGGAATGAGAGGCCGGGACGGGCCTAGATACCCACAGCCATGCCCCCCTCATCCACAGGAGATGACTGCCCTGCGGGGCCAGGTGGGCGGCGAGATCAACGTGGAGATGGATGCGGCGCCTGGTGTGGACTTGAGCCGTATCCTGAATGAGATGCGTGACCAGTATGAGAAGATGGCAGAGAAGAACCGCAAGGATGCTGAGGACTGGTTCTTCAGCAAGGTGGGCCCTGTAGCAGGTCACCGGCCTCCAGGAGGGGCTGGGGCTCAAGCCGCCGGGATGCCAGGGGGTCAAGATCACCCATTACATCAGCAGACCTGGAGCTAGGCCAAGACTGGGATCTGGGGAGTTCCCTGGGAAGCACCCGTGGAGTAAAGGTGGAGAGTGAAGACCGGGGGGTTCCCACCTCTCCCTTGGGAAGCCAGGAACCAACGCCTGGGCCAGGCTATGTGTCCTGGCTGGTTCTCAGTCTCCTGTTCTGTGAATTTCAAAGGACAGGCTTTGGGAAGTGGGAGGCCAGTGGGAAGGCCCTGCTCCCCATGGTCAGATTCAAGAGGAAGCCTGACTTGGGGAAGGGGCCCAGGCTCACGCTGCCCTCTCCTGTGTTCTGGTTGCAGACGGAGGAGCTGAACCGCGAGGTGGCCACTAACAGCGAGCTGGTGCAGAGCGGCAAGAGTGAGATTGCCGAGCTTCGGCGCACAGTGCAGACCTTGGAGATTGAACTGCAGTCCCAGCTCAGCATGGTAGGGACACAGCCGGGTGGAGGGGTGAGCGGGGGGCGGGTCCAAGGCCTGGAGGGGTCGCCGACCACCTTCGCTGACCCCTGTCCTCCCGCCCTCCTGCAGAAAGCATCCCTGGAGGGCAGCCTGGCGGAGACAGAGAACCGCTACTGCGTGCAGCTGGCCCAGATCCAGGGGCTGATCGGCAGCGTGGAGGAGCAGCTGGCCCAGCTGCGCTGCGAGATGGAGCAGCAGAGCCAGGAGTACAGGATCCTTCTGGACGTGAAGACGCGGCTGGAGCAGGAGATCACCACTTACCGCCGCCTGCTGGAGGGCGAGGATGCCCAGTGAGTGGGGCCGGCCAGGGCTGGGGGCTACTGGGGCAGGGATGGGGTTCTCAGACCCACGTCTAATCTCCTCTCGATCTGTTTTATTTGCAGCCTGACTCAGTACAAGCCAAAAGAACGTAAGCATCTTGGTGGTGGAGGGCGGGGCGTGATGCACGGGATGGGCAGCCCACTTGCACGTGGCGAGGGCAGGGTCCCCACGGAGCTCAGGAGATGATGGCTGACCCCTCCTGCATGGGGTGGGGAAGGGACCCACTGGGGCTCAGGGTTGAAGATCAGGGGAAGGCTCAAATGAGAAAGACACCATCTGGTCTGATGGGGGTGGGCAGGGAACTGGACCTTACCCTGGAGACCTTAGTCGGATGGGGAGGCAGGGTCTCAGCTCTGGAGACTGATCTGATGGGAAGGTAGTGACATTGTCTCATGACCTTTGCTCTTGAGATCCTTCAGACGAGCAAAAGCAGTCCTGACTCTGGGACTCTGGCCTGATGGGGGTTAGAGGCACGGTCCTCCAGGTCACATCTGATGGGGGAGATATGATCCTGGCCCTGGGGTTTCTAGTCTAGTGGGGGTGACGGGGACCTGGTTTTTGTCTTGAGATCCCAATCTGATGGAGGAGGTGGGAGCATTGTCTGTGCCCTGGAGACTACAGAGAAATGGAGATAGATTTCATGTAGCACCTGGCCTATACGGCTTCTCTCTTGTGGAAGGACACAGTCAGAATGGAATAACCCATCTGGGGAGGCAGGACTCACACAGGGACACCAGCAGAGGGTTGGGATGGCAGGAGGGACGCGTGTGTGTGGCATGGTGTCCAGGACAGCTGGGAGAGGGCTAGGGGAAGAGCCGGCTCCTGTCAGGGGGCTGGGGCTGAGTGAGGGTCTCTTGGTCCCAGCCTCACTTCCAAGCATCTGTTGCCCCCACAGCTGTGACCACCCGCCAGGTGCGCACCATTGTGGAGGAGGTCCAGGACGGCAAGGTCATCTCCTCCCGCGAGCAGGTGCACCAGACCACCCGCTGAGGACGCGGCTAGCCCCTCAGGAGACAGGGAGGTGGCTGCCCCACCTGCCCTGCAGCCCCTGGCCTCTGCAGCCTCAGCCCCCTGCTTCAGGCCCTTCCCCACACTCCCCTGCCTGACCCCAATAAAGCTTGTTGACTCAGATGTGAAATGTGTCCTTGTCCTGGCCAGTGAAGTAGACGTTAGCGACAAATGGGTGGATGGGGAAGGAGTGGGGGTGAAGGGAAATGATGCCTGGACCCCCACTGTTGTTGCCTTGGAGATCAGGGGTCAAGAGTAAGTCTAGGGGGAGCCTGAAGGGGGGCCCTTGCAACCCCCAGGGGCTGGCGGTCCTTGGAGGGTGGTCCAGGCTGTGCCAGACCCAGGGTGGGGTCAGTGTATCAGGGGTGGTCCTAGGTGGTCTCTCCTTGCCCTGTAAGTAGCTCTGGGACCTTGGGCAGTTGGGCCGTTGCTTTCCCTCACTGGGCCTCACTTTTTCGTCCATAAATGGACCAGACGATGTCAGGTGTGGGAGCCTGGATCCCGAATAACTCACCACATCCATCGCTCCTCCAGCCCCATGGGTGGTGCCCTCCCTCTAGAAGGGCAAGAGGTGGGCAAGGGCTGGGATAGGCACAGAGGCAGGGTAGGTGGGGGAGGCAGGCTGGGTGGTGAGGGCCCAGCTGCTGTGTGTCTCAGGAAACCCTCACCGTGGGGCTCCCGTTGCCCCACCCCGGGAACGTGAGCACGTGAGCAGGTGAGCAGGTGAGTGACTTTCTCAATGGTCAGCTGAGGCTAAGGATGGGACTGGGGTGGGGGTTGCTTTAGTTGGGGTGGCTATGCCTGGGAGCAGTGTCACTCTCCCTGGCAGTTTGGCCCTCTCAGTTCCCCACCTGGGGCAGTGGTGAGGTGAGGGAGGGTGGGAAACTGCATCTTGGGTAGAGGAGGAGGGGCAGTTCTGTCCAGCCCCTGCTGAGTGCCAGCCCCATTTCATTCTGGTGGCCAGGGAGGGGTAGCCATGGGAGGAGTGGCTGGGGAGGAGCCCGGCACCTGGAAGTCTTCTTTCGAGTAAATCTGGAAACCACTGGGCGGGGCGGCCTGTTTTCCGTATTTTCTCCAACGAAGGGGGTGGGTGGAATGGGTTAATGGAAGAAGGGTGCCCCCACCCCACCCCTGCTGGGCCTGGGGTGTCTCTGCTGCTGTTGAATCAGACCCTGGTCCTCCAAACACCCTCTCTCTCCTGGTTTGTTTGGAGGCTAGGGGTGGGGCTCAGGCTGGGAGGGGGCTTGGGACGAGCAGAGGCCAGGGAGGAGTGGGTGGCGGCAGTGGCAAGACCACTGAGCCCTGGGGTGTGGGGACTTTGGGCCGGGCATGGGCCCTTGATGGATCTCAGAAGCTGTACTCTAAAACAAGGGGTGGCCAGGTACGGTGGCTCATGCCTGTAATCCCAGCACTTTGAGAGGTCGAGGTGAGAGGATTGCTTGAGCCCAGAAGTTGGAGACCAGCCTGGGCAACATACATAAAGTTAGCCAGATGTGGTGGCATGTGCCTATAAGGTTCAGCTATTTGGGAGACTGAGGTGGAAGGTTGGCCTGAGTCCAAGAGTTCGAGGCTGTGGTAAACTGTGATTGTGTCACTGCACTCTGGCCTGGGTGACAGAGTGAGACATTGATTAAAAACAAACAAATAAATATATAAAATGAGGGGTGAGAGGAGCCTCAGTCAAGGCACCCTGCGACAATGAGTTGCTCTTAATGGGAGGACTCTGATCTATCGGAGGCTGGTGTCTCCCAGCTGCCTGGCGGTAGATATGGCGCCAATGGAGGGCAGGAGGGAGCCCCTGTTCCCACCAGGCCCCCGCCACACATCCGGTCACAACCAGAAGAACCAGCTCTGGGCAACTGGCGGCTCATTCCCGAGGGTGATCTCATTGATCTGAACAACAGTCCCAGGAAGCAGGGAGGGTGGGGGGGGAGGCACCCCATTGTGCGGATGGGGACACTGAGGCTCCCAGGAACAGTGACTCAGCCCTTGTCCCAGGAGCCCACGTGCTGGTGGTGGAGCTGGGTGTGGGAGGGGAGTGGACCCCACTTCTGTGCTGGGAAGAGAAGTGGGCTCCACCTCCTGCTCCACCCAGGCTCTGGGTAGGGCACTCCCTCCATCCTGTAGACCCCAGTGTCTCCTCATCCTGATGGGGCGAGTGAGGAGGGCTCAGTGTGAGCAGGAATGCAGACAACCCCGGGCTGTGCCCCTCTGCTGGGAAGATGCCCCTCCCCACAAAACGCCTGGGTGGGTGGGTGGCTCAGGAGGCTGGAAGGGAGACGCCCCCAGTGGTGCTGAGCAGAAGCAGCAGAGGCAGGTATTGCCAGGCTGGGGGAAGGGGGTCGCAGAGGGTGGTGTGGAGACTTGGCAGTTTTGTCCAGGCACTGAGACAGGCCCAGGCTGCTGGCATGTGCCTGGGTCTGATTGGGTGTGGGACTCCATGGGGGGCCTTGCTGTTCACTCACACCCACCCTGTCCCCTGCACGGAATGTGTCACCGCCCATCTTCCAGGCAGCACCTGTGGTCTGTGACTTTTCCTTGGAGCGGCAATAGCCACTCTTGTGTTATGGACACACACACCGGACAGGCCAGGCCTGTGCCGGGGATATCCAGCCTCTGGGACACCCCGCAGGGGCTGCTCCGGCAGGATGTCCTACAGGGAGATGGACGTGGTGGGTGATGCTCCATCCACGGGGAGCATCAAGTCCAGGGGAAGGAGGGGACACCAGCTCTGACCCAGAGGAATGGCACATGCCCCAGGGGAGCCCCTGCCTAGGGGTGGCAGCAGGGCATAGTGGCGGGACTGACCATACTCGCCCAGTCCTCATGCAGTGTGGATGTCTCCTGCCACCCAACCTCAGGGGGCATCAGACATTCAGGAGAGGAAAGGGCCCTCTGAGATGCCCACAGATCCCCTGATCACAGGGCTATGGCCTGGACCATGACATTTTTTTTTTAGATTGTAAAATGTAGTTTATTTAGAAAGTAAACGAGAGAGAGAGAGAGAGAGAGAGAGAGAGAGAGAGAGAGAGAGAGAGAGAGAGAGAGAGAGAGAGAGAGAGAGGAGATTCGCCTCCCCAAGGTAGGGGAGGGGACCAAAGTTTAGGAAAACATGGCAGTAGCCATAGCTCAAAGAGCAAATGACCACACCAGAGTTTAGTAAAGCAATGGCGAACCATGACATTTGTCCTTTCCCAAAGATACTGGCGTACTGTTTCGCTGCAGGGCCCTTGTGCGCCATCACAGACTGACCACACAATATTGGATGGTATATACCACCTTTTCCCCCAACAGATTGTATGTTTTGAGGGCTTCCCTGTCTTGTCTTTGGATCTGAGTGCCCAGCTCAGTGCCAGGTACATAGTATGTGTGTTATAAACGAATTTAATGACAGCCACCAGCCTGTGCCAGATGCTTTAGATAATTTGCCTTGAATCCTCTAACATGCCTGTGAGGTAGTGCTGCAATTTCCATTTCCCAGACAAGGACACTGAGGCTCAGAGGCTGAATGTCTCGCCCAAGGTCTTGCCCCTGCTTGCCTGGACTCCCGACTGCTGTGTCCTGGCTCAGTGGGGCCCTACCCCCTAGACTTTCTCCCTCCTGCCCTGAAGCCTGAGGCTCTGGCTGGCCCAGCAGGGGCTGGGGGTCCTGCAGCAGCCCCCACCCTCCCCTCGGCCCCCCGGGCTGCCTCCTGCCTTCCCACGCACAGGCTTGTCCTGGCGGTGCTGATGCAGGGGCCGGGAATCTGCATGGGGATTCTGATGACCCGTCAGGTTTCAGGATCCCTGCAAGTCCAGGCTGGTGTTGACCCATGGTGCTTCCCAGCTGCCTCAGGTATGATGTGACCTCATGGGGCGGGGCGGAGGAGGGAGGAGGGAGGAGGGAGGAGGG